AGACAATAAGTTCATAAATTTATGTGACATCATGGTCACATAATAAATACAATCACATATTTTCTGCTAATCATTTCATGCGTTTCGTTCTTGCCATGTTTTGCTTTTTGAAAATTGTTTTAAAAAGCACATCGTCAAGCTAAGACATTATTGGATATCTCTATATTTTTTCAATGAACTCGTCTGAGTAACGTTAAAACCTCGTGATTATAAGAGAGAATGGTTTTTAAATATTTCTGTAGAAAGTAAGCTATCACTGTTGCACTTGCATTCTCTTATTCTTGCAAATGAAGAAAAAGGCGGCTGGTCTAAGTGAATTTGAAAGAGGAGCAGATTGTAATGAACCGAAGATTCGGAATGAGTATCTCCAAAAACAGCATGGCTTGTAGGCTGTTCATGACGTGCTTTTTTTTAGTATTTGTGTAAAATGGATAAATGACGATGGAACCAGCAGTAGACATCAAGCTGTTAGACGTCCAAGCATCATCAAAGACAAAGGACGTAGGAGATTGTTCAGGTTAGTAAAGCAAAATTGGCGCCAGACAATGGGCCAGCTGACAGCCAATACAAGACAAGTACGAATATTTCGGAACATACATTTCAACGGACACTGTTAGATATCGGCTGCACGGTAAACGTTCCGCTCGTATGCCTCTGTTGATCAAGCATTATCGTCAACTTCACCTACAGTGGGAGTGGGAACGTTGAGACTGGATATTAGAAAAATGAAAGAGATGGTCAGATGGCTTATGATTTCTCATTCATCACGTAAATGTTCGTATGAGGGGGAACCGTCTTCAAGGCGAACAATTGCTCCTCAATGTCATACACAGGCTTATGTAGGAGATATTATGCTTCGAAGAACGTTCTCATGGATGGGACCATGAAAGCTGTAGACTGTCTCAGCATATTTGTGGATATATACGGTGACTGTTTTCTTAACTGGAAATGGAATGTTTCAGCTGAACAACGTTCCATGTCCAAAGGCTAGAATTGTGTTAGAAGGGTTCGAGAAGCACAAACATGAATTCCAATTAATGTTCAGGATAACTAACTCGGAGAGTCTGTATCTGATATAGCCCATTTAGGTTTTCATAGAAAGAGAGCTCATAGATCAAACATCTTGTCTTAATATCTTGACTTTATGGGTCCATTGCTCAGACAATTGGTACAACTTGCCAGTCATCTACCAAGAACTTGTGGCATCGCTGCCAGGGCGAGTTGCAGCCGGTTTGCAGGCAGAAAGTGGTACAATGTGTTATTTGTAATGCTCATAATGTTTTGGCTCTTCGGTGTATATGTTTGTAAACAATAATAATCCTCATATGTAAATAAAATGCAATTGATTAAAAAGCACACGTGTATCAAAAGTTCTTTTTTATTTTGAAAAACTTTATGAAGAATCTTAATATGTGAAAATTTTTACCAAATAATCAAATTTGAAATTTTATCTAAACTTTACTAGTAGAACAAAAAGCACATGTCTAATGTCAGGTGCGAATTCAGTGGAAGACACGTGATTCTAGTTACAATGTGAGCGTCATGAATTTATTCCATTGGGCAAATATTTCCAAGTATTAAGGTTCTTAAAAAGTTTTTCTAAAAAGATTATCATATTATACAGGTACTTTAAAATCAAGCACATTTCTTTTTACAAATGACTATTATTTTAAAATAAAATAAATAATGTTGATGAATTATATATATATATATATATATATATATATATATATATATATAGCTATGTACTTTTAAAAAGAAAGCCTCTGTTAAAAAAGTTGGCAACTTTGAGGCACATGAACTGATTGACTGGAAACACGGGATTGCATTTATCATGGGACTATGGATTCCATATGAATTTAGCTCATTTCTAATTTTAAAAATTTACATTAAAAAATTTGGTACTTTTCCTTTTCGCCGTCACAAGAGATAAAGTTGCCAAAATCATACAAACGACGCCAAACGGATTATGCCCACTAGTAACTTTTTACCACCACATTTTCAAAACAAAAATCACTATCTTTTCTTATTAGTCACGTCTTTTTGATAAATACATCAAAAACAGATGATGATGATGTCGTATTCATTACGGGACCAAATCGGACAGTACCATGGGCCCAGATCACCAGATCAAAAACTGATGAAAAACCAACGATAACTAACATTTATAAAACATTTTTATGTGTATATTGAACATTGTCGCCAATAAAGGGTGTTTTTCGAGATTTTGTACCCGTGAAAGAGAAAAGTACCAAAAGTTCTTCAAGATTTCATCAGATATAAAATATTTGGCTGTATACTAAATAAAAAATTTCTGTTAGGAAGCAAAAGTTGAGCTAAAGCCTTTTTTTAAAAATTCTAGTTTATCCATGATTATAATTCCCTTTAAAATTCAATTCAAAACTGATCACATTTTTACTTATCTATTTTCAAAAATCCAAGGCTTTTCAAGAAGAAGTAATAACATGAACAAGATTTACTTATTTTTGGAAAATTTTAAAAATAATGAAGAGAAAGAGAAATGTATAATTTATGTATTTAAAAGTAGCATTTGCTCTCACACACAGTTCTAACTCTTCATTTTTAGAAAAAATATTCTAAAAGATTATTATAAAAATTATTTTAACAGATTTTCTTTTTATGGAGGCAGATTTTTTTATTTAAAATTTACTCCAAAAATGAAAAAGCAATACTTCTAATTGATGTTACTTCATTTTCACTGTATATTGACTGTATATTCATTTTCACTGTATAATTGACTGAAATAAAACTGCTTCCTTCCACTTTTTTTACACAGATCATATTTCATAGATAAATCAAATGACTGGATACTGTTGATTTATCGCAATAATTTGTAACGAAGTTTGTGTAATGAATGCTTAAAATACGCAATTACGAATATTACGTAAACAATTTATATCTGGGTGTGTAATACGTTTATTTTACTTTCTATTCAATTTAATTTATGCTAAAATTATAATTAAACAACGCGTTTCCTTACATTACAATAGCGATTCAATGAAATTTGGGGAAATGTTGGTGATAGAGCTAAATTAACATCATTTTTGGAAAATTAGCAACCATATAGATTCTTCTGGAAATTACTGGAGAAAGCTATTGATATCACGATCTATGAAGCAAGTGGATCTTCCGAGAAAAATCCGTTCAGACTTTTAAATGTAGTAGCTCGCAAAAACTGAGTCAGTATTGTTTTGAACCGTTAAAAAGTTGACAAGCGATTAGTTGTTACAATCGAGTGACTGCTTGTGAATAATCTGAACCATTACGTATTCGTATCTTTTAGACACTGATAGTTGTGTAGTTGTGTTTGAAAGCTGAAGAAAGTGTGAAGGTTTTCTAGGATTTATGTATTTTGCAAATATTGCTACTGTATCCTGTATTTCAAAGGATTATTTTTCCGCAATAAGTTTTCATCGCTCTTACAGAATTGTTTTGCTCTCTGAAGCTAATAGCATAAAATCCTCGAACACCGATCAACGTAACAATACTATCAAAATATAGACTTTATAGTGTTATTGGAATAATATTCAAAACTAATAGCTTTTCTTGATCTGAAGACATCGAAATAAAATTACATAATGTATATAAAACTAAATAAGACATTTAAAAGCATTAAAAAAGCCTTATTTCATTTAACAACATAAGGGGGGGGATATAATACTGATTTCATGGTCTGCATTACTTCTGTCCATCCGTGAGTTTCCAGTTCTTGTGTCATTAAAATTCGGGCATGTAGAGGAGCAGATGATAGGTACAACTATCAAGGCTCAAAATCATCACATTGGATGGCGTGGTGTGTAAATTTGGAGAGTGGGATGCCAACTCAGATGATGTCTTCGGATTTAGTTCACAACTACGAGGTCCACTGTCAATCACCTTCGAATTGCTTCAGAGTGTTGACGGTTAGTAACAATAATCAAACATTACTAACATTAAGATTTTGATCGAGTAAAAATATTGATGAGACATCAAATGTTCAGAATTTGGCGAAATTCAATAAAGTTTCACTTGGACTCCAATCAAATTGAAATAACAAAATTATAATTAGCTATGTGAGTACATTTTGTATTCATAATTATGTTATTTAAATAAAATTACTGTGTTTAATTATGTAAATATATAAACCTATTTATAATTCCCTCCAAGATTTCGATGTGCTAATGTGAAAAAAAAAAACTAAGGTCAACAAAAAAAAAGAACATTTGGAAGAATACAGAAATAATTCAATTTTTATTTTTATGCTTTACAGGTATGTGTGAAAATCTTACATTAACGCGGTAATCCAGTTACTACCACACTCTACTCAAAATGGTACTACCACTGATATTGACAGTATACGAGTATGTTATCCAAAAATTTGGTTACATAAGATTAAGTTTTTGTAACCCCCTTTGCCGCATGATATAGTAGAGCTACACAAAGGATAACATGTGCCGTCAATTAAGTTGATACTGCCTGGTTTAGTAAAGTGTAACAGGAACCCGATTATCGCATTAATGTATACCGTGTAACTAAACTTTTACACATATAACACCTGTAAGGTATGTAAATAAATCCTGTATTCTTTCCAATGTTCCCTTTTGCTGTATTCGTCTTAGTTTTATTACTATAGCGCTTCAAAATCCCGCAGGAAATTATGAAAAATTCTGTATTATGTAATAATACAACGTAATAATATGTAATTATTTTATGTAAAATAATCGCGATAAAAGTAGTTTTCCTTTACAAATATATTACTATTAGTTCATTCTCATATATATATATATATATCTTGTTCAAATTTTTAGTCGTTAATAAAATACTTTCTATTCATGCATTCAAGTTCAAATAAATTTTTTAAATAAATTGTAGTGAATGACACTTGATGTTAATACAGTTTTTTCAAATATTAATTCATTAATTAAATTAAAAAGTGAATAGATATTAACAAACAAAATTAATAGTCTAACACCATATATAAAAAGGAAAATCGCTCGTTGCGTCCTGTAGCTCAATGGATAGGGCGTTGGACTTCTAATCCAATGGTCGTGGATTCAAATACCACCTGGAATGACCTAATTTTTGAGAATGGGATTTCTTTTTACTATACTATTTTATTGGAATAATTAAATTTAATTAATGAATAAATAGTGACAAACAAGCAAAAAATAGACCAACAGCCTATACTGAAAGGAAAATCGAAAACTGCAAGGAAAATCGCTTTCTATTTTGTCACTTAATATACAAGTATATTAATATACATATTTATATTAAATGTAGCTATTTAATAAAAAGTAACTCAAAATTATTCTTTTTTGACCTAAGTAAGAATTGACTTAATATTTTTTATATTACTTAGTTTCTAGTTACATCCGTACATTGCTAAAATGTTCCACAGGGAAAAAAACCCCGGTTCCCAAATAGAACTGGGAACGAATCGATAGAAAGCTTTTTTCTAAAAATAAAATATCTGGATATCCCTTCATATTCCCCCAAGAAAATTAACTGCGATTAAATTCCGATACCGAAGAGAAAATTTGACAGGGGCAAAATGAAGAAAAAAGGGAGCAAATAAGGGGAAGGAAAAAAATAGCTTTGCCAGAAAGGAGAAATAAAAAACTATTTCATGGTCCGGCAGATATTCTCCTTCCTTATTCAAGCGAATGAAAAAGACGAATGGAAGTTGCTTTTGTTCTTGATACCACTCTTCCCCTTCTCCGGCTATTTCCTGACTTCGACCATTATCTCGGCGTCCGGTGGTCAGTTTCTTCTTTCTCTTGATCTCATTTTCTCACCAGTCAGCACCAGAAGTTCAGTGTTGATTTGGTCCCTGCGGGTAAAGGGTTTATGAAATGGTTTTTCGTGGCCTAGCTCGTATCTGCTGAGCTATATATTCTGCATCATGGATGATATGGATAAGAGTTTTGTGCTGTCCTTTTCAGTTGGGCTGGAGGTCTTCATTTACTGGGGTGTTGGGATGTTTAGTGGAAGGATTAGATTATGGTGTGGTATGGGAAAAAGGTGGAATTATATATATATATTGAACGTAGGAGATAAATTGTTTAGCAAAATAAGAGGAAAAAGTATGTCAGTAATAAAAGCAAGTAATATGAATTTTTTTTGAAAGTCAATTTCTACTTAGGTCAACAAATTTCTTTTTATTTTAGTTCCTTTTGTTAAGTAGTTCCAATTAATTTAAATATGTACATACACATGACAGAATCATAATATTAAATGACAAAATAGAAAGCAATTTTCCTTTCAATTTTCTATTTTCCTTTCTATATAGGGTGTTGGACTATTTTGTTTGTTTGTTACTATTCATTCATTCATTGAATTTAATTATTTTAATAAAATAGTATAGTAAAAAAGAAATCACATTAAAAAAAAAATTAGGCCAGGGATGGTGAGCCAGTGGCAAGCGTGCCATCAATGGCATGCTACATAATAATTTGGGCACATCAGTGATCAAAATGGATTGCATTTTATTTCAAAATAACAAAGTTCACTATGAAGTGTTACGAACAAACTCGAGAGATCGGTGGCGGGGAGCACATTCATTAGTTACGTCGTGGGTGAGGGAGTGAAAAATAACGTTGCACTGTTCAGCTACACGAGGGCTTTAGGCGACGAACCTCGTAATTTTGAACTATGGTCAAGTGACGGGGACGACACCTGAGCTGAAACTCCCCTCTTCTAACTACCACGCCAAAGGGAGAACGTTTGAGCTATCGACAGATTTAACATGCATCGCTTCCTTACCCGGCGGATCTTAAGTGATACTGGGCTAGAACTCATGACACGCCAGCCACGATTCGATGCCTTGACCATTAGGCTACTGTGGTCCATGGGCTGTTGCAACACCGAGTTAAGTTTATGATTCTATCGAATGTAAGGCTTTCCGTTTTGAATTTAAATCTGATTTGCTTTGTTAATAAGTTTTGGGGATAAAAATGTACCTTATAAAGTATAATTTTACAAGGTGATTTCCGCGGTCCATGGGCTGTTGACACACTGAGTTTAGTTTATGATTCTATCAAATGTAAGGCTTTCCGTTTTGAATTTAAACCTGATTTGCTCTGTTAATAAGTTTTGGGGATAAAAATGTACCTTATAAAGTATAATTTTACAAGGTGATTTCTTTTATTTATTCAAAAAATGACATATTTGGGAGCTATAAATACTGAATACGATCAGTTATAAAGTTTTTAGCGAAGGTAGCCTAGTTGTCAGGAACTCATGACCGACGTGTCACGGGTTCGAGTCCTGTGTGTTTCTACTGAAGACTCACCGTGTAGACGGGCAGATGCATGTTAAATCTGTAGAGGCTCTATGTCATCTCGTTGGTGTAGTAGTTAGGAGAAGTAGTTCCAGCTGAGTTGTCGTCCTCGTCACTTTGCGGTTGCTAATGAAGTTTGGGACATTGGAATGAACAGGCATTGTTTTAAGAAAAACTAATTTAATATTGATCTATCAATTTTCTATCAAGCAATGTTATAATACGTGGGAACAGTCAAATTTAATTGTTATCCTAAATTCCTTAACTTAACTCAGTGGCGTGACAGCCCATGAGGGCCAAGGCCTATTATGTCCAACTCAGTATACGTGACCTTGGGCCCTGAAGTGCATGAGCAGATGTTCCGGCCAGGTGGTCAGTCTGACGCGATCCTAAATTCCTAAGACATGTTATTATTCTCTTAACGGTATGCGATCCGATGTAACTGCACTCCTCAGGTCTCGTTCGAATAAACTGGATATACCGGACTAAAGCTTCTTTTCAAAAAACGCTTTTCTTTTTTCCCCAAAAAACTTCTGACAGTCACTTCGCTAATCTAATTTTAATAGCAGCCTATCGACTAACTCCTACACTCCCTTTGCTAGAGTTTATCTTCAAATAGCCTTCAAATTTACATAAATCATGGTTTCTCCACGGGGAGGTGATTTTCTTTTTAGCATAAAAGTTAAAAAATATTTTCCCCAGAGAGTCAATAAAAAGTAAAGACAAGACCCACCACAACTTGATCGAGGTTCAAAATTACGAGATCCGTTGCCAACCCCCTGGTGTAGTCTTATAGAGTGACATTAATATAACTCACACTAACTTACCCAGATGCTGCACAAAATTAAATAAAAACGTTGTGACAAAATATATGTCAAACATCAAGTGAGTGCTTACTAACGTCGCATTACAACGGACCTATTGGCGACGGACCTCTTTACTTTGAATCACTGTCAAGTGACAAAGGGGACGTCTGAGCTAACACCCCTTCTCTAAATTTTCACACCCCTCTAACAGGAGGACTTTAAATTAATCCCCGACAGACAATTCGGGCATCAAGCTGTCTTTGAGGCCACAAGCTGGATCTTACAAAAGGTACGTACTAGGCGTCAGTCAGACTCCCCCGTCTTGCGGTCATTACCAATAGGCTACTGCAACCACAGCATTTGTTCAAAATTAAGAGATCTAGAGCAATGTTAATTTTGTAATAAATGTATTTTTTTGTGATCGTAGTATGTTTCTTATTTTTTTTCGAAATTAATATTTTGTTTTTGCTGCTATTATAGACGCATTCAATTGAATTGACACATCACGCCATAGTGCTGAGACTATTGCTAGTCAAACATTGTAATAGCACTGATTGACTTTGATTTTTTACTTACTTAGTTTTGTTAATTTCATTTTCAATTTGTACTATTAGCGCACACTCTCTATATATTCATTTATTTATTTATTTACCCTAGTGGAATATTCAATCGTTAATAAAATACAGTTTAAAGCGCTCAATTGAGCTGAAATTTAATGTACATGATTTTATTTTAAATGACAATACAATAATTTAATTATAATTAATAAAAGTTAATTGATTTAAACTAAGTATTTAAAGAATTACAAATACAGCCACGTTGGCATCATTTTTGGAGACTTGTGCCTAAACTTGAAGAGGTTTTTTTCTCACATTTTAAAGCATTCAGTTGAATTGAAATTTTATATACAAGACTATTTTGGATGACAATACGATACTTTAATGATAATTATTAAAAATTAATGACCACTTAATGTTGTGAGTCTGTCCTATGTATATACATATTTATATTAATTGTAACTATTTTTAAAAAAAGTAGCTAAAATAAAAATTTTCATTGTTGATCGAAGTAGGAATTGACTTAATTTTTTTTATATATTACTTGTGTGTGTGTGTTTTTGTTATAAAATTACAATTTGCTTAAAAAAATTCATTGTATGGCATCAATTGTTACTTTTTTATTAATGCAGTAGTAAGTGACATCGCCATATATATTTCATTTCTAACCGGCTAGATCAATTGTGGAAGAACATTTTCTGAATTCAAATCAAAGCATTATTTATTTTTAGGCATTCAATGCAACGTGCAACGTAAATCATGAAGATATTATTTTTAAAGCAAAACACTTGTCAGCATCTCTATCGTACAATCTATCATTGTCAGTTCAATGCACTGAGAAACTCCAGTGGCGTAACGTCAGGTTCTAAAGGGTCCCAAAGCTTGACTGACGCAAGTGCCTACCCTTGGTAAAATTGAACATGGGGGCCCTAAACCTGACTTTGCAGGGGGGCCCAAAAATTCTCCGTTACGTCACTGGGAAACTCCCCTTTTGCAAAAAAGCAAACCTATTAGATATCGCATAGTTGGTATGGCGTCATCTGATGAGGATTTATCTAACTAACACGCGCCTTAATAATTATTTATGTTAATTTTGAAATAAAACTAATTAGCCACAAATATGTCAGATTTTTTAAAAATTCTGCAGTACTAAAATAAATTTATCCCTCTCTATATTTTTGATACTACTGTGTTGAAACACATTCAGACATTTTTTAAAAACTTTTCTGTATTGAAACTAGATCATAGATTGATTGATTCAGAAGAATTTTTTTGAAGCATTTTTCTAACACAACACTGCAAAATGAATACTTAAGTCGAGAGAAGTTATTTAGAGTTTATTTTGCCAAATCCAGAATTAGTTCGAATGTTAGTACTATGAGTCTTGATAGGATACATTAAGTTCAACAAAAGATAACACAAAAACATCATA